AAAAAACTTAACGAACTTCTGTTTAAGCTAAACATCATAGAATTTTAAAGACAGGCGACTTGTCAGTTAGATATGAGATGAAGAGTAAATTAGTTTAAATCAAAATACATTAATGTAAAAAAAAAAAATATTTTAAGTTTCTCTAGACGAAAAAGTCTTTTTTCATTATTGATATACATTTACTACACATTTAATAAGTTTTAAAAGCATTTGTATTTAAATAAATGTAAAACTAAATGAATATAATGGAAATATTTGAATTAAAAGCAAATTATTTAATATTCATCAAACGCAAAATTATAATTTAAAAATTTCCAGCTATTGTCATCTGCTTTTACTTTCTCTTTCTTTCATAAGTCTATTATGAAATACGTTTTATATTATTTAATATAACCGTTGTTGAACAACTGACCCAATTTGAATTTATGACTACCAATTTTCAACTGTCTTGTAATTTTGAACCCAATCCAGAAGAAAAGGGAACTCCTGGATCAAGCATTGAGAAAAATTTGCTTTTGTGGAGGACTTTTTGATAGAACTAAACTGCATTTGCATTACATGGAGAGAAAAGCCATGAAAACCTCTCATAGTTAGTCTGACAGCAAGGGGACACTAACCATTCACCACTGAGGATATTTCGCGCCAGCATTGCGGTCACTCTGAGCCGGGTGTGGATCTGGTATCGACCAGCCATTGCTGGGATTTGAACCTGTGTCATCTCTTTGGGAGGCGGGCACTCTATCCCCTGAGCCACCACCACTCTATTTTGAAATATAATAATTTACATACATTTCCTTTTCCTTCTTATTTTTTTTTGAATAAAACTTACATTATCAATGAAATAAAACTTTATAAAAATATTTTCCGCTTAATAATTCATTAAAAAATTTAAAAAAAAACAAGTAATATAAATTGTGATTTTAATCATGATTTAAATCAAGTGCCAATTATTATTACACAGACCTAGAATCTGAGCACTAGCTTCAAGGAAACATTAAACCTAACATATTTTAGTCAATTAATCTTTCATGTTTAGCACAGGCAACAAATCAATTACTTCATAGACCTGACAATCTATAATAGAAAAGAGGTGGAATAGACGGGCAAACTTTCTCCTTGCAATAATAAATATGGAAAGTAAAATTAACAATTCAAGAGATATTTCCCCTTGAGTTTTTCCGGTTTTAAATTTATGGAATTTCCCCGGTTTTAAACCGATTTTCTGATTTCCTGTACTTTGTTCGTCTATGATGACGAACTTTTTCAGTGTCAAAACATGGAATAAAAGAGGGAAACACAGATACATAGAAATAAATTTCAAACAAGTTATAGAGGAAAAAAAAGAAGGGTTGAAATGACAATATGAGAATGAGCTTGGGTGAAATAAGATGAGAGGTAAAAATAGTTGTGGTGAGGGCAGCATGAGAAACTAGATGTTTCTAGACTTAAAATTTAAAAAAAGAAATAGATTTGTCCACAATGGCAAGAATCAATAAAGGGAAACTTAGGCCAGTGGCTAAGCAAGGCCACCTCGCCAAATGCGATAAAATCGTAAATTTGGCAATTAAATTGTGTTTTGGCTAATGATTTTTTCTACTCGAAAGAAAAATACATAATTTATTATTTGATTACAGTAATTTTTGGTAAATGTACCGCATAACCAATTAAAATTGGGTCCAAATAACATAAGCTTGAAACAAACTATCGCAAAATAGCTCTCTATGGGGAAAAAAATTAATCAGGATTTGCATTTGGCAGACTTTTGAAAATTGGTGAATACTTTTGATATTTGGCTAAATTACTGGCTCATAATTTGAAATCTTTAGTGCGGGTCCTGGCTAAGGAACTTGGCTGAATAGTTTTATCAGAAGAAATTAAAAAATATGAAAGTTCAGCTATATAGTTAGACAATATACTACAGTTGGAATGAATAAAAAGGACCCATTCAAATGTTATGCAAGTAAGTTTTTGCCAATTTGAGACTCCTCATCTGTTTTTGTTAGAAAGAATAAGTAAATCACAAACCCTTATCCATGCTTACATAAAAAAATTGCAATACCAATGTAATTTTTCAAGTGTATTTTTTTAAAATTTAATTAATTTATCATTTTTTTTCTTTCTCTGTATTTAAAAAAATGAAAATAGGAAGATTTTAATATCTTATGCAATCACTACTCATACTTATCTTCTAAGGGGCAAAACTAACAGTCGCCACCCATCAAGTCATTAACGATATAACAAGTTACAATTTAAAAACTGTTTCACATTTGCCACCTGATTAGTCCCCTATTATGCATTTTATTATAACTATTATTTAATAAATTGGAGTAATGAATATTTTATAATATTCAATATGGATGTATGAATATTTTATTCAATGGAGTAATGAATATTTTATAATATTCGGAAAGGAACTTAACTTAGTTACTTAACTTAGGAACTTAACTTACTTTTTCTGATTGTTACTTAAAATTGTTCTATGTATTAGAAACTAGCATTCTAATGTTGATCATATTTTTATAATTGCTTCAGAAAAAATGCCTCACATTATTAACATTAACAGTTTCTTTTTAATCCATTACAATTTTCAATTTTTGAAAAAGAGGTCATTGTTAAAATTAATACAAATGGCTACTGGCTAGAAGCAAAATTTCCTAATTTTACCTTAAACCACCCACCATTTTGTCAATGAAAATAAGCAAATTACAAACTCCCTTGTTGGCTGCTTATGTAATATTCGAATGAAAAAAAAAAAACTTTGCTGAATCTTTGCACTTTTATCAGCTTATGAGTGACAACCCTTTTTCCTTAGAAACTATTCATGCTATGTTGAAACCAGATTAAAAATTTAATAAGCAGATTTTATGTTTATTGTTATAAGATTTTAAACACTCAAGAAAATATTATGCAGAAAAATGGAAAAATATATAGGATTTTAAATAAATAATTTAAAGTAACATTGAATGGGTAAGAGTTTCTACACTATATCATTGGTAGTTTTTGGCAGCTTAAATAAAAAAAAATAGAATAATATCTAAATGGAAGTAATTCTTTATTTTGAAGAGTATGAATATTAATTTCTATACAGACCATGTGATTAAACAGTTTATATACATAGGTAAAATAAGAAGGAAAGGAAAAAAGGAAGTAAAATACTTATGTATTCATTGATGTATGAATTAATACTAATTACTTCTGTTGTTGATATTAATTAACGATAAAAATGGATGCCAACATCAGAAATAACAAATAGATTATTATTTTTAATTAAATATGAAACTCAGGTTATTTATAATCATGTATAACACTCACCATAATTATTATAGGTAAGCTTTACTAAATAATAAACCATTGGCTGCTGCTGTTTTTGAAACAAGTTTGGAAGAGCCGTGATGGCTCAAGGGATAGGCTGTTTGCCTTCCAATAAGGTGAACCAGGTTCGAATCTCAACAATGGCTGGTTGATATGAATTCTGCACCCAACTTGTCTTTTGGATTGGGTTCAAAATTACAAGGCTACAGAGATGAACATTAGTAGACCTAAACCCAAAATTGGTTCAGCGGTTCAACTACAGTTGAACAGTTAAAATAAGTTGGGAAAATAATCCAATTTAAATAAAAATATAAAATCAGCAATCTCTTATTACTTGAGCAATAAATATTAGACTTGAATAAAACCTAAATAGTGTAAGAAAGACTGCACAAGTTGAATTCAAATATTTAGAATAACATCCTCTGCCAAAGCCCCACCCATACTAAGACTCTGCTTCAGAACCCTGAGGCAGAATTTTTTCGAGCTATCTGCGAAAAAACTCTCTAAGATATATGTTACTAATTTAAAATAACAAAAGTGCTGTGTTTACAAAAAAGAAACTATATAATTTTTTTTAATTGAACACATAATTTTTTACTCTAATATTATAGGTGATATTAGAGAGAGCGAAGCACAAATTATTTCCTTCCTTGCAATTTGTAAAGAATCACAGCAAAAAATTACTTAAAAATCATGAAATCTGTAGTAGTAATCGCCGAAAAAAAGATTGGCGCCTAAATCATGTGAATCGTTCTCTTTAAATGCATGTTTTGTTTCGAGATAAGGTTGTGGTAATAAATAATATTGTATAAAAAATATAACTAGCAATAACTGCCAAAAATTGGATAGAATTATTGCCTTAAGTAAATACTCAATGTCTGATTTGAATTTTACATATTGTTTGAAATACATCGGGATATTTATAAACTTTGTGAAAATCAATATCAATAACTGCCAAAAATACAATCAAAACATTATACAAATTTAGGATACTATAGGAGTAAATTAAGCGCATCAAAAAGTGTTTATCGAAGATTCAAATTTTAAGCGAAGCATGATTCAAATATTAAGTATAAATTTCAAATATTAAGTATAAATTTCATATTTTAAGTATAAAGTATACAATTCTTTAGAAAAGAAAACTAAAATTTTTTACTTTTCAAAAAAAAAAAATCTTTTGGCAAGAATTCTGTTATGTTCTGCGGCAATGTTGCCGTGTCGTCGCGATTTGGCCACAGGGCATCACAATATTTAATTTGTTTGCAAGTTATTTTATTTGTTAACATCTCTCTTTAATTTGCATTTTGGCACTGAAAATGATGTTCCTATAATTATAAAACAAATACCAGTCTTTGATAACTACAATTCTAAAGCTTTGAAATAATTGTAATGCTTTACTGAATTGCTTTTACTTATAACAAAAAAATAAATTTAAAAAAAACGACAGAAAGATTGATGTCTAAAAAATTATTAAATGTATTGTAATCAACACACACAATTTCAATGAAATTCTTCAAATGAACAGAAATAACAAAATGATACAAATAATCATTTGCCTATAAATATTATAATGAAACACTGAACAAATGTCCACAATGAAATATAAATTTAAACCTTATTGAACAGTTAATTTTTTACCATTAACATGTTAACAGATTAAAGAAAAGTAATTATTTAAGTACACTTACATTGCTCTGCAATTCTCTAACGATTTTTGCTTGATGTTCTTGATTTATTTTATATGCAGAAATACGATTTTCATATTTTGACAGGTACTCTTCAAAATCAGAGCGGATTTCTTTGGATGGGCCATGTTCACTGCTAATTGAATCATCAGATGAAACATCCTGACTTCCGATTAAGTTTTTTACCTAGAAAATGTTGAGAATTTAGTATAGAAGACAAAATCATTCATGGCAATATTATGTTTCTAACATTAATTTATGGTTATTAATGGGTAAATCCATCATATCTAATTAACCAATAAAAAAACGTTTTTTTTTTTTGGTCAACAATTCAAACTTTAATGATTTTTAGCATGCTTGTAAAACCTGCTTTTAACATGAAAAATACCAGGTTTCATATTTTTACACATTTGTTTCTGAGTTATAGATTATTGAAATTTTGAAAATTCAATTATTTTTTATAATTTTTCAACAGCTATAATTTTCAAACTGTTTGACAAAGTGTGCTAAGTTCTGTGCTTATTTATTTCAGGTTTAAAGGCAATTCATAAGATATATAGCACAGCTAATTTATTTCAAAAAATAAATTTCTTGTAAAAATTTTAAATTTAAATTTTTAAAAAACACAAAATTAAAATATTTTTGAAAAAAAAAATTTATTTAACTCTTTTTTAGATATGTTTGTGCTGAATTTCAAGATACCATTCTATAGGATTGCAAAGAAAAAAAGAAATTCTTTTTGATTTTAACAGTGATAAATCAGGTAGTAAAAGCAAAATTACAGCATGCCATTTAAAGAGCAGTTTTGGTTTTAAACAAATTGCCTGATGACTAATTGACTGATTTAACTTGTTTAGCCTCGACGTACGTGAACGTGATGATTGCATTGACCTTTCGTTAGTAGCATTTAGGCCTGTCCGACATGTTAATGGCGGTCATTTGCGTTTGAAACCGACTGGTCGAAGCATGTTTCGCAAGTAGGAGTCTGGCTTTACTAACATCTATTGTCCCTCAGGTCCTCGCCAGTTTAGTTACTAGCGGAGACTGGAGATGTTAATTATGAATTCGAGATAAGTAATCTTAAAAACAGCGAGATGTTTTCCTCAAGCAAAGCACAGTAGACTTCATTTTTGTTGATTACTCTCAACTCTTTTTCAGTCACCACAGCTTTTCCGCACCATGGCAATGTGCCATTTTCTCCCCGCTTCAACTTTAGCATTATGCTTATCACCACAAGGTTTCACCTCAACGATCTTTACTTCATGATGAAGGGGTAAAGGGCCATCTTGGCCTCAGGGACCCAGACCAACCAACAAGACCAGACCAGAACAAATTGCCTGATGACTACATGACTCATGTAAAACTAAAAATAATTTTTTTAATAAAAGATTTCAATCGGAAGTTTTGTTAAATTTTTTTTTTTTTAGAAAAAATTGTTTTTTTAAAAATTGTTTAGAAAAAGTTAAATATCTTATGAATTGCCATTAAAAAAAATTAAATAAATTGAACAAAATTTAGCCTTCTATGTCAAATAATTCTAAAGCTATAGTAAAGTAATAATTCTAAAACTTTTTAAAAATTCTAAGACTGTAAAAAAAATTTTCATATAATATTTGATATAATATTACAATACTGCATATAATCATCTATAATTCGTGTGATTACATATATGTATATACAAAACTCTTTAAAAAAATTAGAGAATAAAAATTCTAGGATACAAACTGAATAGTTCCAGGGATTAAATTTAAATATGCAAATTAATTAGTGCAGACAATATTTAAAATTACAAAACAATATTTAAAATTACACTTTTATTGAACGAATACTTTTGTTTTCTATCAATTTGGATTTTTGACTCTCAAAATATGGGGATAACGGTAATTTGGAAAATGTGGTTCTAATAGTGTAAACAGGAGAGTGGTCCCAAGATTGCTGTTAAGTTTACTTTCTACATATTCCTAGAACTATTTAAGCAAATAAAAAAATTTTTGCACATAATTATAAACCTCATTTAGACAAACATATTTAAAAAAAAAACTTTCTCTCTCTCTCTATATACATAATATTATTAATTACTTTTTTTTGTTTAACTTAGCAATAATAGCACAAAAGAAGTTTTAATTATTTTCCCATAATTTTAAACATTTAAAATTAAAGGACAAAATTTAAAATTTGAATAAAAATGTATAAGTTTTTTAAAAACAAAAACTTAAAATTATGACATTTTTTTAAATATATCATTACTAAACTATTTTATTGATTTTGCTTCACTTTTGTACTTTATTATTTAAAATCATACAGTTTGATATCTAGTAAGTTGTGTAACCGAACAATAACAATCTAAGTGGTAATAATTTAAGTCACATCAGAACAAAATATTTAATTTTAGTTTTAAGGTTTCACCAAGTTATTTCTTGCTACTAGCCTCTACATCTTTGGTTATAACTAATTATAGTCAATAAAACAACAAATAAATTTGAAAAGCCAAAATTTTTTAAAAGTGGTATGATTAATAAAATATAAACGAAGTTTCTTACCTGTAGACTCAAATCTTTGTATTTCTCTCCAACTTCGACACATTCCTCTCTGCTACTTATTAACAATTCAGTGTAATGATTTAACTCCTCCTCAAGAAAGTTTTCAGAGCTCTAGAATAATAAATTACAATCAACTTTTTTTAGGTTCATGCTAAGGCTAAGATTAATTTCAAAATCATCATTAAGATGTTTGAACTAAAAAACTTAAGATTGTGTTTAAAATTAAAAATTAGATCTAATTGTGTAAGATAATGTTAAAGTATTGGAATAGCAAATTATATCTCTCGTATATTTCCCATTTGATTTTGAAAAATGCACTACACATTCTAACAACTCAAAGAAAAGATCAATCAATCTTTAAACAGAATTTACAGAATATTAGCTTATCTGCTTTCAAAAATTTCTAAAAAAAAAAAAAAAAATTCTCTCTGCTCACCATAATTTAATAAATATAACAATTAGCTTAAAAAAGTTTTTTTCTTGAAAAAAAGTGGTTTGAAAAGTAAATATTTTTATTTTTTAATTTTAACATCAAACAAAGTGTAGAATCATTCCTCATCTCAATAATTAAACTTTGAAGTTGATAAGTTCACTCTTTTAATTTTGTAATAAAAATTCACATTACCATTTGTTTTCATCATTGTCTGATGTGGGAAAACTTTCTAATCAGATCCTAAGGCTTACCAACTACAATGACAAGGTGCCAATGTACACTACCACTCGATACTCGTACTTGCAAAAAATTATATAGGTAAATAGAGTTTGAGGGTATATTTTACTCTTAAAATTTGAACCATTTGTGTTCTTTTTTCTTTTTAATTTCCTCCATGGCACTAGTTTAGAGAAGGATCCAATCTGAAAATTGCTTAGATTTAAATATCATTACAGTTAATTTCGTGTGTGCTACTTCTTTTAATATTGAAAAATGTAACAGTTTGTTCATAAGTTGATAAAACAAATATTCTTTATTAAAATTTTTGTAATTTTTAACATCAAATCTTTTAGAGGAAATCTCTAATTAGTAATCAATATTAAAAGAAAAATTAAATTTCTCACAAACATAACAAAATTTATCAGACATTTTAATTACTTTCAAATAATCAAAACTATTTTTTTTTTTTACAGAAATAGATAGAATTTATGGCATAATTTTAAGAATGTTGTCACTGATTCTAATGGACCAAGGAAGAAATTTAGGTTATATCAACTTTTCATGCAGAGCAACAATTTAATTAAAATCAATTACTCTCTTTGAAAATGACAGTTAACTGAAATTTATTACTTGTAAACACAAAAATACATTTTAACAGTCTATAGTTGTGGCAAGCTAAAATATATACTTACAGTGTCTAAGTTTTTGTTTACATTTTCAGCCATTCTTTGGATGATTCGGACTTGAATAAAAACATAAACATCATGAAATAAACATGTTCTATTTAAATTTTTAAATATCGATCATATCGATTAAAACTTTTCACGATTGGATTACGATGAAAATTATGATACATTAGAAATATATTTGTCCATTCGGCAACGATTTAAAACTGAGAAGTGTTTTTGACTATGCAAACCTAACGTTTTTAGTTTTTTAGTTTAATAATCTGCTTTCGTTTTGTAACCATAACTGGAATACCAAAATGAGTTCAAAAACGAAACAGAAAAAGCTCTAAGTTTAAATCCATTGTAACAAATTCAAAAGTAAGATTGTTATTATGTCTCTTATATTCTAATAAATACTTTCACAATAAAATTAACTCAAGAGAGTAAAGTAAATTTTTATATTCGTGATATTTTTTTCCATTTAAACGAGAAGTTTGAAAGAATTTTTGTTAAAATAATAATTAAAAACAAGTACTGACATGGAAATATTCCCGTTTTTTGTATGTCTTTTTTTTTATTAGAAAAAATTTACAGATGTGACATAATACTGAATTTTGCTCAAAAGTAGGAACATTAGTGCGCTTAACAATTTACTCTGCTCGCATTTTTGCTGCGCATAACCAAAAATTATAATAGAAGTTCTCTTTCTCTAACCTGAATGTTTATGATTTTAATAGATAAGGCTGAGTGATGTTTTGTTACTTTAATATTTTACATTTGATATTGCGTAATTTTGAATTCTTGCACTTTTTTATTTAATCATCAACAGTGAATTGTATTTTTGTTTTAAAAATACTTAATAAATCACTTCATTAACATAACTCTGCTTGCATGTTTGCTGCACATAACTGAAAATTATAATAAAAGTTCTCTTTCTCTAACATGAATGTTTATGAAGATTTTGGCATCACAATGTTTCGTTGCTTGAATATTTTACATTTGGTATTGCGTAATTTTGAATTCTTGCACTTTTTTATTTAATCATCAACAGTAAATTGTATTTTTGTTTTAAAATTAATTAATAAATCACTTCATTAACAAAACGGAAGTAAATAAATATTAATTAAAGAAGCGGAACAACTTAGGCAGGAAGGGTGCATGCAGTAGAAATTAATATGCCTCAGCTCATGTAATTAAATAAGTAATTATATAAATTAAATCAAATTTAAAAGGCACTTTAAGCAAGCATTTATAAAACTCTTTATAAGCTGAAAAATTAAAAAAAACTTTGCTGATGAATTGAAAAAAATTTAAAACCTAGGAACAACTAACATCAAATAGCATGTAACCTCAGAGTCACCCCCTTTTCTTAAATTTAGTTAGTTAAGATAAATTTTTTATTAAAAAAAAAAGGAATGCTCTAAAAAATAAACATAAAATGAGAAATTCGTACTTAACTTGTTGCATTTTTTTTTTAAAATTATCATTTCATTTCCTATATTTTCCAGGGTGCGTAGCGTTTTTAAAAAGTGCTTATTTTCCATTTTCGTTTTTTAAAAGCCCTTAAAGGTGCTTTTTTCATTGGGTGTTTTTAAAAAGTGCTTAATTATCCCTTTTTCAAAATGAGATTTTTCTTTTACTAGGTTGATTTTCGCTTCGAATTATGCAAAAAGACACAGTTAACATTGTTCTTTCTATTCAATGTTTTCGTAATTAATTCAACCCCAATCTGTTTCGGCTTATAGTTAGTCCATAGCGTTTGAAAACGCCATTCGTTTTACATAATTAAAAATTTCATGAATTTTGACAATTGTCAAAAACAATGCCAAAAGTTTTTTTTTTTGACATGACGGTTAAAACAAGATAAAACCGTTGATTGTCAAAATCTTTCCAACCCTGCTTAATTTTGATATTTTTTTAAAGTGCTTAAAAATATTTTTGATTGCTTGAAAAATGCTTAAAAGGTGCTTATTTTTTGGCTACACACCCTGTTTTCCAACAATGATTATTATTTCTCTATATTTATAGACTTACGCATGTTTTTGCAAAATAATGGCAAAAAAAAAAAACAATAAACAGCTAAATTGATTATAAAAAAATCAAGAACAAAGGATTTGCACAGTTAAAAGAAAGCTCATTTCTATAACTAAGAGATTCAACGCTTCATTTCTCAATCACATGAGGATTTATCATTTCAGCAAAACTATGAGTCACAATTGACATAGGGAAAGTAAACCATGTTCGCCACAGCTTACGATTGGAGGAAAATGCTCATCACGCGAGCTTGCAGTCATCGACTTCCATGATCTGGAGAAGTGCTCTTTAAATACTTAAAACCATCGATGTACTATTAGGAACAATTCTCCTCATCGCATATATAGACATCAGCGTCAACAACATATCGGGAGACTTTATACTTATTGAGATAATAATAATTTCGAATGCTTCGAAAAATTGTTACTCTGAATATAGGATACGCGATGGTTGCGTAACATTCACATTTTCCTAGGGATCGATGTATCGCCCAGTCCTCTAAATAGAATACATATTTTCTATTCAAAGGGTTTCTTAACTGAAGTGTTTAGTATTTAAGCAATAGAATAGTAATTGAATTATTATCTATTATAAATGACTACATTTTAAAAATTCAAAATATTTTTATTTTAAAGAATTATAGTAGTAGGCTTGACAGTTTCTTTTATATAAAGAAATGTTTTCCAATTTCTGCCATTATTGCATTTTTCTCTAACATTCAGAAAGAAAAGATTAGAAGTTAGTTGATTTGACAATTTAACAATGTTGTTTAACATGTACTATGTTTTGAGATAATTAAAAACAAAATATGGCTGAAATAATTATAAGCTGATAAGCACTTGATAAAAAATAAAAGGTTAAATATTTCTGCAGATTCATTGAAAGAATTACTTAATTAAATTTAATTGAGTTTGCAGTTGAAGAAAATACTTAAACTGCACAGCTTTTGATGTTTTAAGTTAAATTTTGCATAGTAGGGTTTATTTTATTATAGGGTTATAAATTTTGCATAAAAGTATGGTTTACTTTGTTTGGCTCTGCTTTCGTATAAATTAGTTATTGATTTTCAAATTTTTTTTAAGCGTAGGACGTAAATAGTAGTTTTCTTGTAATTATTTTATTTATTTGCATCAAATAATAAATATTAGTTATTAAAAAAATTCGCTTCTGAATCTAGCTAGCAATCCATATAGTTTTGGTTAGATCATATTTTGTGTCACTTTGATATCATATTTTATTGCATTTTAGTAATTAAATAACTGTATACTGATGTTTTTAAATTCAATACTTCTAGCATTTATTAAATTTTAGGTAGTTAATTAGAAGTACCCATTTTGTTATTTCCTGGAACACCATTATAATTTGAAAATGGCACTTGAAAGTAAGTAATCAAATTCTTGAATTAGGAAGTTTTTTTCCCCCTCAATATGTTTGTCTAAATTTATATAAAAATAAATGTGTACACTAGCATCGTAATTACATGTATACTTATGTCAAATTACTTTTTGTTTGATGAATATTTTTGTTTTTTGGTAAAACTTTAAAACAAATCTTTCATGAAATATTAATAATATAAAAAGAACTAAATTTTTACCCTTCCTTTTTATTACTAAAAACTATAAAAATTATAGTTTTTTGTAATAAAAAGAAATTTCTACTTTAACTTCATATTTTCTTTTATTACCTTTGATAGTTGTACTGAGTTTATTAATTTATTTTAATAAAATGTTTGTATGAAGATTTCTGAATTGTTTGCTGATTTCATTACTTTTTAAAATTGATCTTAATAATTTATATTTTTTTGCCAGCTCTGTAAGGATTTCTCTTGATTCTATTTGCATTATGATTTTCTTATGGAAATAACACTTCTTTTTAACAGAAGTGGAAATCATAATGGTCACACAAAACTACTCTCGCAAAAATAAAAAGAATTTAATCAATGAAATTAATTATAATTTCTGATTTCTTTAGCAAAATTAGAATGAACAAAATTGCTAACTAACAAAATATTTTTTAGTTACATGCAATAATCAATAATACATAGTCTTTTAGTACTTAATATTTATTTTGTTCAAAATATTACTGAATTACGGTTATTCATAAAAAGAAAAGAGCAAAATGCATGAATTTAAAAACTTATGTTTATTCAGATAATTGAGGTCTAGAAAATCTCAATATTGCTTTTCCTTTGAAATGTGTAATATGTAAGAAAATTTTAAGAAACTATTTTTATAGAATATCATTGTATAAAAGTGAAATATTGTCAAAGAATATTATAATACCATTTTAGAAACCTTATTTCACTTAATAACTAAAAATAATTTTTTTTTTCATTTATTATGATTTATTTTTTTAATTTTTTCTGTCTATTTGTTTAGATAGCAACCAATGTCAATCAAAACTGAGGGAGTTGGTTCTCCAAACTCAACAGGCATATTTATCTGAGACAAGAAGCAATCCATTTTTGGATTCAGTTTGTATGTATATGAAACAAGTTTGCTTAATTAAGTTTTTGTGTTTATTCTCGTTGAAAAAATCAAAAGCAAATAAGTACATTTTTTAAAATAACATGTAGTTTTTGTTAAAGTAATTATGGGTTAGAGCAATTTTGCTGAAACATGAAATTAAAACAATTTTTTATGCACTTTACAATAAAAAAAATACCCAAATAATGAATGAAATTCAATAAAACATTCATTTTGCATAATATTATGCAATTTTAATGGAAATTAAATTTAGTGTTACAAAACAAGCTATGTCTATTTAGTTTCGTATACATTTTACTGAACCACATATCAAGATGTCTGACATTTCAAAAATTGAATTTTTTTTAAATGTAAAAGAGTTAATTTTTTTTTCAGTTTAAATTTAAAAAAAAAAATCTTATTTGATTCTACTGTTACCCCTAGATTTATCACTGACACTTTTTTTACTCGGGGTTATATAGATATTGATACATAAGTATTCTTATAGAACTTTAGTTATTTTATTTGACACTTTATTTTACAATTTATTACTTTTTTTTATTTTACAATTTATTACTTTTTTTATTTAGTTCATAGATTAGAAGAAATTGATTATGATGAAACTTTCTTCAAAGTTGCTGAAGAGCATGCTAAAGTTTTAAAGGATGTAATAAGACATAATAATCAAAGATATAAGAATCTTAAATTTAGGTATTTTTTTTTACAATCTAATTATTAATTGTCATTTTTTATGTTAGTATTTTGTTGCACAAAATAATTATTAATTGGGAACTGTGTAGTCTTTTTGTTTACAAGAATTTGTTCTTTTTATTTATTAATTGTAATTAATTTTAATTTTTAGATCACCAGAAGAATGTATATCTTACTACACAGCTAAAATATTTTTTGACAAAATATCGCTATATCAGAATTTTTCTTGTCCATTCAGTATGAATCATGGTAGGTAAATAATTTTTTTAATATGCTAAATTTAGTAAAAAATACCTATTTTACAAATATGTATTATCTCAATTTTACTGCTACAATCATTCTGACTCTTTTAATATTCATATAATAAAATATATGTAACTGTCCTTCTTGCTTTAAGTCAATGTTAATTATTTTAATTCCAGCCAAGTATTATTTTATCTATTCAGCAACATGCATCTTCTTTAAAGAAGATTAAAAATCTTAAAAGAATGAATCTTGAATGGTACCCAATTTTTTTGTTTTTTTTTTATATATATATTTGAGTAGGCTATATTTGATCGAGTAAAACTTTAATATGGCTTATTTCTGTCAATCTGTGCTGAAAATAACAGCTGTGTTTAGAAATTATTCTTGGGAATCTACAAAACATGCACAAATTCAAAAGAAAATGGCATAACAGATTAAGGAGTATAAGACAATGAGAAGTAGGTATAAAATGTTTTTCTTAACATTAATTACTGTTAGAAAATTATGAGGAACATAAATTTGGCACTCATTAACCAAAACTCTGGCTTATTTGGAGTCACATAAATGAACACTGTCATATGGAGAGAAAAAAACCCAGAGAATATTATATTTTTAATATTTTAAAATATTATATTTATTTCATATTTACAGCAGCATCTATTTTTGGTTTTGTTCGTGTAACTAAATTCAATTGGACATTAATATATTTTTGTTTCTTAATGAATAAAATTTCTTGATAAATACATTTCTTAATGAAAAAATTTTAAAATTTTTAATATAACTTTTTTTTCAGAGTTTCCAATTAAAACTTTGCCAATTCAGGCTTTTTTGAAGGAAGATGTTGAAGCTAGATCAAAATTTGAAAAGGTAACTGTAATGTTTTCTTATTTTTTAAGTGTGAGAAGTTTAATATATTTATTGAATTTATATTATTTGTTGAATTATAGTATTTATTGAATATATTTATGAATAATAATCCTTTTATTGAATTAACTTATATTCAGGATCATTAAATTTTTTTTCCTGCTCACCATACATTGTTAAAAGAAAGTAACTTTGACACTGCACCAATAGCTCGTCAGTGCAATTCTTGTGCGATGTAAACAGCTAAACTTAAAATAAAACAAGTAACTTATTTAATTAAAAAGCATATGTTACAAAATATATGAACTATTTTTTTTGTTGATTTCATCATCTATTTTATTAAGGTCTTAATTGTAATAATGTAATATTTTGAAAAAATTACATTAAATTATGTCAAAATATTTATTTTTCTCTTTCAGACTCTCAAGCAATATGACATTCTGTATGTCGAAGTTTTAAAAACTTCAACTGCACTACAGCTTCAGCCAATCGACAGTGAAAACGCAGAGTATGTAGAATTGCGTATCATTGGCAAAGTTAATTTTAAAGATAATATAGATAATGAGTTTTTGTACCATCTAAATAGCCATGTGAGTAAATTTGTACTCACTTTTTAATATTTCTTTTATTTGATTGTTGTATATGTATTTCATGATGGATCTGAAAGATTTATATAATTTATTTACAAGGTTTTTTTAAAAATAAGTTTGACTTCAATTTATTTTCTAATAGAAACCTTTTCATTTTNAAAAGAAAAAATAAAACATTCGTCCCTTCCCTGCCTTCAAGGTCACGGAGGAAATGACGTTTCTCTGTGTAAACGGGAGAAAAAACTTTCCCCTTCCTTACATTTTCCTCCACTCAACTTCGAGGATGAGTCCGATTTCCGCTTTTTTCGTTCTAGTTTAAAATGACGGGAAAATCGAGCAAAATTTTTCCCGGTTATCTGGATACCGGATAAATGGTTCTCTACTGTACTAATGAAAAACAGGGTGCCTTGCTGGCAGTTGATTTGCTGTGTTATCAAAAACAATCTTGATCTTGAATAATGTTATTATGAATAAATCACTAAGTTCTATGTAAGAAAAACCTTATTTTTAAAAAAATAGTTTTAAGTTCTCAAAAGAAAACATTTCATTAATGAACAAAAGGTATAGTTACCCTGTGTATCATTACCCAAAGCAAAAATATTAACTCTGAACACCTACTGGCATTGTGTCTACATTTCAACTAAAATATTTCACTTATGTGTCAGTTCAATTGAAAATCCTGGGTATGTGTGACATTAATAGCAATAACAATAGAAAGGATGTCACGGGAGAAAGAAGAGTCTATGAGGAAGAGTAAAAAATGTGGAAAAAATCAGATTCTTTATGGCGATTCCTATTAACTGATTTAATGGAGCAATAAATGCTTATTAAAAGAATTTTTGAAAGCATATATTTGTAAATAATATCCCTGAAGTTGTGGCAATATTATTCAATCTTTCCATTTTGTTCCAGGTTTTTATGTTCAAGAATTTAGAATTAAAACGATTGGGTAGAGCTGAATTTTCTATTTCTGAAGTTTTTAAAGGTTTGAATGTATTTATGTTTTTCTCATCTAAATTAAAAGTTTTAATTTTTATTCAATGCTAATTACATTGTAATCTTGACTACAGTAATTTCCGGTAGATATGCCTCATCCTTTCTGTATTTGAAAGCTAAAATATCATGTTGGAAAAGTGCTCCAGGATATAAAAATTTAGCTAAGTAAAAAAAAAAAGGCATGAAGCTTGAGTAGAAATTAATTTCATGACTGTGAGATTTAGCAAACTGTAGGTTTTTACACCATTTTCGTTTGCGATACGCTGCTGCCAATATTCTTTTCGTAACGCCCAAAATGCCATATTTTTCATTAATAACAGTTAAGAAAGTATTGTGGGTTTTTTTATATTTTTTACTGGAAATTACTGTAAATAAATACTGTGCTGCTATGCAATTATATATCAAAGTTTCAGATACACTCTTTTAAATGTTAAGTAAACTAGAATCATTTTTCTTGTTTGAAGTTATTACAACGTGTGCATCTATGAGAATTGAAATTAGTACAAAACTTTGGTTTTACTCAAGCTATTTAGTTAATCATTTTGTTTATTTTATTTTATTTTTTGTCTTAAGCATATTTTTCTAATAAAAATTGATTTGTATTTAAAAAAAGTACTAAATTTAAATTTGCTAAGAAACATAACTATGGCAAACTTCTTATTAATATATTTATTAAATATTGTCAGGTGTCTTTAAAAATTTTCATTGTTATATTTTTTGAAATATTCTTGAATAAATTATCGTTTTTTTTTTTACTTAGTTTTTTCTGAATGTAATGTAAAATATTGCTTCTAAAAGAAAAACCTTAATATGTGAAAAAAATATAATTAGAGGAAATGTATATATCATCTTAAAATAGTTTTTGGAAAGGGTAAATTGATATGGAGTTATTCAAATCTATCTCATTGTTTATAATGAATCGATATTTCACATTGAGCAAATGCCCAACTAAATCATTCATGTATAAGTGATGCCTAATTTTCGTACAATATTGGAGGTTTGAAAAGTCGACTTGACTTATACATTGGGGTGATATAAGAACACATGATTAAATAAATATAAATTTTTTTAACTACAGAATTTTGAGATATAGTCTTTACCTTGAGAGTTTTATACCCCTCTTTTCTAAGACACTTACTACAATCCAAGCCTGCTTCAATTTCATTGTATTCTTATTTGTTATCATTATCTAAATTTGTATTATTGTCTGTTTTCATTTAGACATTATGTTGTATCACTTTCCCTAACGTCAGTATTTTTTTTTCTAGTTACAGTGTTAGGAAACCCAAAGGTTACTCCTAAAATTTTTGTGACAACAAATATGGATGCCTTACGAATTCCATATAGTCAAAAGAACTCTATTGTTTTAGTAAGTATCCCCATTAAATTTAAAATACACTTTTATATGGAATTCTAACTTTCTGATCCATGGTGAATATAAACAAGATACATTATACATCCATTATTTTGTCAACTTTGTTTAAAGTCATTTTTGTTCTTTTTTTTAACAAAGTTCTGATGACCTTTTTACTTTCTTTATTGGTGGAATTGATGGAAATAGTTAACACAGACAGCTTCAATTAGTAAAATGTTGAAAGCCAGGGTTGGGTTTTTGACGTCAAAAAGTGGTTTTTGACATGACAAGGGTATAATACTGGTTTAAACCGTCAAAAACCCGTCAAAAATGTCAAAAACTGAAGTTTGCCAAGAAAATATATAAACTTCAAAACTACCAACAGTTGCCATGCATTATATTGAAATTTAATTATACTATAGGTAATCAGCAGGTTTTAAAATATTTTTTAATTAAAATTAAGGTAAAATAACAGATTTAAAATCTCAGAAATTTATATTCAAATGCATGTGCAGAAAAATTTTGCACAAAAATTGTTTAAATATTTATATTTAAAAAAATTTTTTTTTTCTTTTTGATACTTAAGAAAATTAAAAGTTTATTACTATGCATTTTTGACATATAAGGAACATATAACTAATATTTATAAGGAACTTACAAGTTATGTTGTATAAATACAAACTTGATATAAGATACAAGTGTATAAAAAATTTTTTTTAATGTTATACCGAATATCTTTATTATCCAGTATGTTAATTTGAATTTAAAAGTAGTTATATTTATGAATAATGATAAATATAATTCATATTGTTTATTATATTTATTTATAATTATTACACTTATCATTTTAAAACAATTTTTATCTCTTAATTTTTTTTTCTCCACTTGTATTAAGAATACAAATAATGCATATCTTGAAAGCAAGAAGTAATTATTCAACAGCTGAATATTTAGATATTCAACAAAACTATATAGTATTCAGCAAAATGAAATTCACAAGTATTTGGATAAACTAAATTTTCAGCATAGTAAATGAATAGGCTGAATATACTGTAAATCGACACTAACTACTCTGTGTATTTAACAGAAAGCACTTAAATTTGTATTGTCTTATGTTAAAAAGATTATTAAGAAGATTTAAAAGAATATTAAAAAGATTTTTCTTTAAAAGATGTCTAATGTACAAAACTGCTAATGTTTATCTTTAAAAATGTCTAATTTTTAGTATAATCTATACTATACACTAAATTTGGTTATAAATAAATTTCTTAATAATATCACTGCAGATTTTCAATAACACATGAAAATGAATACATAATATTACAAAAGATGTGAGCTTTCAAAAGTACAAGATTTTGGTTACTATTCAAAATATAAGTGTTTCTTCAAAATTTTAAATTTATTTTTTCTAGAACATATTTAGAAACACTATCCTTTATAAAAAATATATAAATTTTATGTATTAATTAAATTTCACATATGAATATAGGTTTTTGACATTTTAGACATTTTTGACAGTGAGGTTTTTGACGTGACGGTTTAAACCATGGTTTAAACCGTCAAAAACTGTCACATGTCAAAAACCTGCCAACCCTGTTGAAAGCAGAAGTTCTTTATAGAATAACCGCAGATTAGCTCCAACGAGCATTTGTCTTTCTCGAGGAGCATATATATGAAATCTAACATGGGTGAATTGTGTTTCACATGTGGCAGACAGCGCATTTTAAGCTCCGACGAGCGGATTTTACTGTCGGTGCGAGCTCTAACATTAGCTACGTATTGCGTATGGAAAGATTGCACACTATTGTTTTTTCTAAACATTCCAAAGCTTGAGTTCTCCAAATCATTACCAAAAGCTAGTTTCCAAAATTTAATATCTAATGCCCAGAAAATCAGTGCTATGTTTGCTTCATCATATATATGTGAACAAGTGTTTTCAACAATGAACCTTAGAAAATATCTTTTTAGAAATAGACTAACAGACAAGCATTTAGCTTCGTTCCTTAACATAAGCACATCTCACTTCGAACCTCAATGTAAAGAACTTTTAAAAATGAAATCACAGTTTCATTCATCTCATTAAATATTTAAATTAAAACTTGTATCTCGTTTTATTATTTTTATTTTAGAAGTTTTTACTCGGCCCACCAAACTTTTTCTTTCGATTTTTTGCCCTTGACCTAGAAGGTTTGCCCATCCCTGGTCTAGATTAAGGCAACCTACAAAATATGTATAGTTTATAAATAAGACTATTTGGAAGATAAAGATGCAAATAAATATTTTTTAATTTAATTTTAATGGATATTTCTGCTTCTCACAATATAATTTATGACATTAATTATATTGTGAAAAGCAGAAATATTCATTAAAATTAAATTAAAAAATATGCATTACGGGCTGTAACGCATCCTGTAAACATAAATTTTATGTGTTACAGGATGCGTTACTGAAACTTATATTAAATAAATTCTTTTGTTGAAAGTGGCAAATTTTGATTTTAACGTTTCCGTTTTACTTAAGAGTTTGATTTTCTTTTATGCATTGTTTTAATTATTCTCTTTAAATAGGGTGCTGTTCCGCCTAAAGATGTGCCTTTTGATCTTACGTAAGCTTATAAATCAGATTTAGATGTACATAATTTTTTTATTTATATTTAATACATTGTGGTGTTAATTTATTTTACATATTTATTTATTATATTAATTTGTTATGCATATATTTGTTATATATATTTTTCCATTTCCTGGCTCAAAAATTACATTAAAGAACAGCTTAAAAAAAATCAGTTATTTTAAATTAAATTATTATATAAATTCATTTTCAATGAAATCATGTTAAAATCCAACCCAGATATAAATTTTTTTGTAAATTTCTTGAAGTGAGAAAATTAAGTATAATTTAGTAAAGAATTATTGAATGTTAGAACTGTTTGTGATTAATTTTTTATATACATAAAATTCTATCTCAATAACTGCTTTAATTTTCTTATTTTGGGTTTTTTGAATCATGAACACTTTTTGAACTAAACCATAAATTACCAATACCTCATCATTCAATCGTTGATTTTTCTATTTTATCGTTATTAAAAATCATATTTAAAAAGACTGACAAATATAATTGGGTTTAACAGTTTTTTTATTTTTATAGTATTAAGTTAGAATTTTTAGAGCGCTATTCTTTTTTTATGCTGTGATTTAGAAGTAGATAAACTTCCTTGCCAAGTTTGGGTAAAATTCAGAAGAGGGAAATATATATTGATAAATTCACTGCCCCCAGGAAAATGTTTAATTAGTGAAAGATGTGTGCTTTGTCATTGCCTTTTACGTATTATGTTTTCATCCGAAATATTTATTTAAATGTAAAATATTAAGCCACACCCTGTAATACTTCATTTTGTTTCTGGAGAATTTTTGAATAAGAAAAATTATCTGCACGTTTATACAGCTTTTTCTCTTAACATTTACTTTATTGCATTGATTTTGTAGCTCGTATGAAATTGCAAGCGATTTTCAAGGATATTCTAACTACTTGCGTAGTCAGCCGAAATTTTATCACACGCATAACTTTAAAAATGAGATGGCTTCGGTTGGATTCAATTCGTTTTGCATTCCTGGAGACTGGTAAGTACATGAAATTTTTCTGCTTTTTCTTGTTACATTTATTTTTCATGATTATTAAAAAAAAAAATGAAAGGAATCTTAAATTTCAGAAGAGTGCTTATGTCTTGTCCTGGTGCACTAAAATTAGTTATTGTTTTTAGGAAATTTTTCTTGTCAATATGCTTTGTAAACAAATTATTTTTTTAACAACAATCTGTATAGTAGTATTCCGAATCAATATTTTTATTTATTAAATTCCAAACTATCTGTAATTCATCAAACCTAAATTTTAAGTGAATCTTGATAAAAAATTAAATTTCCTCTAACAAAAATGTGAGCAAAAGTTTCATCTTTATATTATGCTCTGTTGTCTTTCTATGAATGTTTATAATAATATTTTCTTATTTATAGAAAATGTAATGTAGGAATGTAATTTGCTAATCTTTTAATATCTGTCAACCTGAGTCATCATAAAATATTCTATTGAATATCTCATTGAAAAAAAGAAATGTGCCAATAATTTTTATTTATCCAATTTAATAGAAAATTTTGCAATAGTACAATACAGAACCCGTTATCCGGAAACCGGAAAACCAAAAAACCGGAACGAAATTCAATAAATTTTCCCGCCATTTTTAAAAAAAAAAAATTTTTTTTTTCCTCATAAGATTTTAGGATTTTTCTTTCTTTTTTGACAGATGTTCACCTTACCATCATTTTGGAAATAATCATTAGTGTATTACTTCATCGTTTTTTCTTCTTTTAAGATTATTTCCAAAAAAAATATTTGTTTTTTTTTAGTTGGGTTTAACAATAAAAAAACGGCTTTTTGTAGCGATTCAGAAAACAGGAAAAATCAGTTATCCGGAATAGCGATGGTCGCTATCGTTCCGGATCATCGGTTCTGTTGGGGAAAATGTAAACAAATAGAAATGTAAACAGTATTTTCCTCTTGGCTGTGTCACTTCCTGTGGGAAGTTGGGTCACTTCCTAGGGGAAGTTGGGTCACTTCCTGTTATCTCAGCTAGAAGGAAGTGGGTGTTTCTGGTTTTAGTTAGTTATATCTTTGTTTTGGTTAGAGGATGTTTCTTCTCTTATGTTATGTTTAGAAAGAGCTATGTGATGTCAAAGAGTTATGTTTAGTTTATTTGAATGTAGTTTTTCTTACTTTATATTTAAAGATTTATATTCAATAAATATAGTTGTACCTTTTCCATGAAGTGAATTTTTGAGTAGTAATAGATGTCTTCAATATATTATACTTAGTAAGCTGGCTCCTATTTTTCAACA